AAAGAATGTGCAGAAGAAAGTTAGAAAGAAGGTCAGAAAGAATGTCAGAAGATATGCCAGAAGATATGCCAGAAGATATGCCAGATAGAATGCCAGATAATATGCCAGAAGATATGCCAGATAGAATGCCAGATAGAATGCCAGAAGATTTGCCAGATAGAATGCCAGAAAATATGCCAGAAGATATGCCAGATAGATATGTCAGAAGAATATGCCAGAAGATATGCCAGAAGATATGCCAGAAGATATGTCAGAATATATGCCAGAAGATATGTCAGATAGAATGCCAGAAGATATGTCAGAATATATGCCAGAAGATATGCCAGATAGAATGCCAGAAGATATGTCAGATAGAGTGCCAGAAGATATGCCAGATAGAATGCCAGAAGATTTGCCAGATAGAATGCCAGAAGATATGCCAGAAGAGATGCCAGATCATATGCCAGAAGATATGCCAGATAGAATGCCAAATAGAATGTCAGAAGATATGTCAGATAGAATGCCAGAAGATTTGCCAGTAAGAAAATGTATAAATGTCATGGTGGGGATCACACGAAGTAAAGTAATTTGTGATTTTTGTCCAAGAAACTTTTGTCGTCATGTAGGTTTTGATTTACCTCCGGACTTGTTTGGACCTGAAATCGAGTTTCCTCTGCCGATTTCACTCTCAAGGAGTGTGAGTCAAACAAAAGATAAGTCAAGTATAGCCACATGAACTGACAGAGCTTTTTGTGCTTGTTGTCGCGTGCAAAAGGGGGCTTGAAGCGTGCAGTGTTGCGGGTGTTGGTTCTTGAGATCATACTTTGGGTTTTCGGCTCTCGCATTTTCTGATGTTTTTTGAGGTTTTGCTTCTGTTTCCAAAACGTTCTGAGGTTCTCAATCGATTGACGAAGCTTTGTGAGGTTCTGGTTTCAAAGGCTTCTGCCATTCTGTTTCCGGTTTTGATGTTGGTTGGGGACTCGGGCCGCTATAATATTATTTTATAAGGTTAACTCAGTGTCCGCAGCTACTTGGAACCAACCAAAGACCCCACACAAACCCTTTAGAATTTTACTCCGGCACCTTTCACTGGCAAATAGCAATGAGCCTTTCTTTTCACAAACCACGTACAAGTATGACAAAGAAGGGGTCCTTTTTTTTTGGTCCTCGCAACATAAGAAAAAGCAGACGCGCAAAAATGGGCCTCCCCAGTTCAAGATTCCAGTCGCAGCTGTTGCTGGTCAAATCAGCCTCAGCTTGAAACAAACGCTTCAACAGATTTGCCAAATCCATTCTGGAGTGAAGGTGTCCGTAATGCGTGACACTGGTAGCAAAGGTGGTCGTGCCTATGCGGAACCTACAGAGATGGACACTGAAAAGATTAAGACCCAATGCATGCAAGATGCTGAAGAGGCTTTTTGGAAGGAGTTGGCAGGCGAGTCAGAATATCAACATACCGCCTCTAGTCGAAAAGGAGCGTCACGTGGTGAAGGACAACGTGGTGCAGTTCCCGGTGGTTCAGGTGGAGTGCCTGGTGGTGTGGAGGTGGGCGTCGAAATCCAGATCCTCCTCCAGGACTGAATCACGCAAAAATCAGTTTTGATGGAGCAAGGAGCAGCGTTGCAGTTTGGAGATTGGTTGACTATGGCCACCCCACGTCGGAGTCGGGAGTGTGGGATGGAGTTGGGGGAATCAAATACCGACAACGTGCAAATCAACAACGTCTGATCAATGCCAGGGCAACTCTTCGAGAGCGATACAACAATGCTGCTCTTCAAGGAAATTGGGAGGAAGACAATCGGTGAGGCATTGACGGCGAGGTAGAGGCATTAATGGACATCGCATAGCCGTGACAAAGTGGCAAAGTGGTGAGCAATGTTTGCATGAGTCAGTGCAGCCAATGCGAAACTCCTTCAGATGGAGAAACTCAAGCAGCTGAGATTTGCAAAGTTTTTTTTCCAAGGTGCCCAGAAACCCAGAGACCACATATGTATAAGATTGCATGTAGCACAGATGGCCAATGTAATAGGTCAAAATTTGCATGGACACTTCAGCACAACGTGTGGCAAACAATTTGAGTTTCCTTGCCAAGGTGGGGTGTCACAATTCAGTTGATGCACTCATGTATAGGTTTGCAGGTAGACAGGTCCCCAGTTGGCACTTGGAACAACACTGAGAAGATTTGCATGGCCAGCTGCTCAGTTGTCAGATAACCCGCACTAAATCGAGAGCTGAACTTCTGTTGCAAGTGGCTCGAACTAGCATGCGAGAAAAAGGGCGCTTTGAGTGGCGCCGTGATTCGTGAGAGTACATTATTGGTCATTTTGCCTCTATCATCTACAGTACTTCTTAATTTGATATATGTATATGATATATGTAATATATATATATATGTACACATCGACACGGACGTGTCAGAATCCAGGAGCAGGCTATCAGCGACTATCATGTCCAGAATCGGCGCATGTTTCCGGAAATGTGGGATCGTGCGTCAGTTTTTATTGGAATCTCTACTGGAGTTTACCCTTCAGACAACCTCATCTTTCGATTCATCATACGCGCGGTCCATGGAACTCCGTTGGCATTAAAGAAATCTTTGCACATCGTGTCAGCCAAACTATACGATAATTGAGCAGCCTTGGTCGACTTGCATCTCGCGGTGTCCAGGAAGAAAACACATATTGCTGGATCAGGTCACACCTACTTTGCAGCGATAAATTTTTTGAGTACCTTCTGGTACTTTAATATAGCCGCTGCAAATGGCCCGTTTTTAGACGTGACGTAAATCATCTCATCCATAAATGGGCCCTTTTCGACAGCTACCTGACCAGAGCAGGTCTGAGAAGGTGTCTAGTTCCCAATGGCATGGCCAGCTTCGCATCAGTGGCTGCTAAACCCCTATTGATTGATGATTACATGGGATGCTATCCGAGGGATACTATCCAAGATATTTGGGATTATCACAATACATTGTGGGAAATCCTATGAAAACTCACCAGTATAAAGGGACGACGCTTGCGGGTTTTGAACACTGTTCATTTGCTTTTGCTTCCATGTTATGTGTAGACATGTGACATTTCCAAGCCTTATGCTGTGGCTGTGCACAACACTTGTGACTCCATTTGATCCACCCTTTGGGAACTGGTAGTAGCTGCCCTCAAGATAGCGTTGTTAGGGTGTTGCTGTGTGAGCCGCAAACCATTTCCTTGGCCAGGGCATGGCTCAAAATTGGCTTAGCAATTGACCCACACAATTGGCCAATTTAAACACTCGAAATTTTGACCGTCATAGCTTACTGGCCCAGACAAACTTGCGCCACAAACTGCTAACGTGATGTTTACAGTTTAACACGTGCAAAAGAGAAAGGCCGTTTTGGGAGGTTAAAATTTCAATGCGTTCATTTAGCAAGATCTTTGTTCTTTGCTTTTCTTTTTCCCCACCTGCCAGGTGAGGTTCTCTAGATGTTAATTAAGGTGCATCTCCTCCTTCCTTCCTTCCTTCCTTCCTTCCTTCCTTCCTTCCTTCCTTCCTTCCTTCCTTCCTTCCTTCCTTCCTTCCTTCACTCGCCGCCATCACTCCCGCCTTCTTTCTGCACTGTGGAGCAAGTGCCGGACACCATATCACCAGCTCCAGATGCTGTGGGGCATGCCTGGACCCGAACACCATATCGCGAGCTCCAGATTCTGTGGGGCACGCCTGGACCCGAATGCCAGAAAGAATGCCAGACAGAATGTCAGAATAGATGCCAGACAGAATGCCAGACAGAATGTCAGAATAGATGCCAGATAGAATGCCAGAAAAAATGTCAGGAAAAAAAACACAATAGAATGCAACAAAATTTGTCATAGTAGATGTCAGATAGAATGCCAGACAGAATGTCAGAATAGATGCCAGACAGAATGCCAGACAGAATGTCAGAATAGATGCCAGATAGAATGCCAGAAAAAATGTCAGGAAAAAAAACACAATAGAATGCAACAAAATTTGTCATAGTAGATGTCAGATAGAATGCCAGAAAGAATGTCAGATAGAATGCCAGAAAGAATGTCAGAAAGAGTGTAAGATAGAATGCCAGAAAAAACATCAGATAGAGTGGCACAGTGGTGATCACTCGAAGGTATTTTGCATTTTTTTGTAGATCCCCTTTTTGGGCATTTCTTTCTACCGGGATCAATACTTCAGAAGTTTCATGTAGCAACGTAGGTGCGACGAGGCATGCCATGGCTTTGCCTGCACCCTGTGTCCTCCAGGACTGTGATTTTTAGCTGCCAAAATCGTACATCATCCCCAACCGGGTACAAAGAAGCAAGGAATTTTCTGTGCCAACCGTGATTTGACAAGGGATATATGGGGAATTTGATGATATTTGATGTGAATCAGGAATGAAGCAACACAGTTGACTTTCAGAAAAGGATCTCGCGACCCAAAAAATGGGACCGGCTTCACCGCTGCCAGGGACCATGGCACCTCTCAGAGAAGCCGCTGCTCGGCAAACCCCGGGTGAAATGCGATCACCAATTTAGTGGCAAAACCCCTTCATTTCTTCGAACTCAATCACATACCTACGTCATGTCCATATCACTATTTTGGCTGCTGAACATATATATATATCCTTATATCGTTCCAATATATTTGGGATATTTCCATGTATCACTGGTTTTTCTAGGGTTAGCCACTGAGTGGGATGCACCAAGGAGGAGTTCAGCAACTCATTATATCAGCAAACATTATCTTGGCCTTGGCGATGTCGGCAACCCTATGTGAGATCTTGATGCGATTATTTGTATGATGTAGTACCCCAAGAAGGCATACTTATACATTTTTCATTTCTTTGTTCCTGTTGCTCGGTTTGAATCCCAGTCTTTTTTGCCTAAAATCAATGTTTCGGTTGGCTTTGATCACGAGTTTTCTCCGTCAAAATCACAAATTTGCACAGTTCATCCACCATGTTAAAGCAGCATTTTTGGTTGCTGAAAGTCTCCATATTTTGCTGCAAACCCACCATTTTTTTGGCGAATCAGGTTGAGCTGGCGATCCCACCAGCTGCACTACACTCGGCTGGCATTTTTCTCCGCTGCTGCGGTGGTGAGGCACATGTCATTTTTTGAAATTTCCTAAAATGGTGGTACCATGGTACCCCACAATAGGTTCATAATGGAAAGTCCGAAAATCAAATGATGGATGCTGATGATTTGGGAGTACCGCCTTTTTTGGAAACCTTCATATATCACTGATAGAAATAGACAAACGCCGCCAAAACCCTCATCAAAAAGGGTATGGATCATTGGTTTAAGTGAACATTTTCATAAAAATGCCATATTTGGTAAAGAAAAACAGGGTTGTAGATTTGCCTTGGAACATTTTCGTTGAGACCCTGCCAGGCTTGCACCCTTCGGGCGCTTCCGGCAGCTGCGGCAGCGCATTCCAGTGCGCTGTCGGTCTGTCGTGTCCGAGTTTAGCCAGGCAAGTCTGGAAACGCGGACTGTCAAGGAGCTGAAGAAGATGTGCAAAGACAGGAACCGTCGGAGCCGTTTGGAGCCGTCTGCGGTTACCATGGGTGCTAACCCAAGGGCGACTCCGTGCTGGACAGAGTTACCAACTCTTTGGGTGACAGATCGATTGATTTTCATCATTTACCGTAGCTTTGGTGAGACATGTCAGTGCTTTCAATTGCGGCATATTGCGGCCGTAGAGGGGCCGATTTTCAACAAGCCGATGGTTTGACCATGTTTGACCCGTTTGACCCGAGCGTAGGAAGCTGCAAGTGAAAGGGAAGAAAGGAGATCTCATTCATCGGCTGTTGCAGGTGCGGAAAACCCACCTGATGTCGATTTCCCTGGAAAATCCACAGAAAATCCACAGTGTTTCACTTTTTTTTCCTTCTTTTGTTCACTAAGATAACTTTTCCAAATTTCTGGCTGCAGTGACTGCAGTGGTCTTTGTCATAGCCAACATGACACCGATACCAACCGAAGATCTATAGCTCTACCCATTGGAGCCCACAGCTATGTATACATCATATTCATGTTTAACATACGGTATATATGTATATATATATATATATATCTCACACATATTCTATATTATCAATGGATGGTTAATGCCTATTATTAATGTGGTTAATACCTATATATATATATATATATGTCCCCATTTTTAATGGGAAAATCCACTATTAATGTATATATATATGTGTTATGTGGATTAATTTCATTGACGGATTTTACAAAAACACCAATCTATCCATTTGATGACGCCAGTTCACCGAATCGATGGACCCAGCTGCATCGGCGAAATCGGCACACAGAGAGGACCGTTTACACGTCCTGATGTGTAACAGATTTCAACTTTTATGGGGATGACTAAAGTGTGTGTGTATATGTATATATATATATATATCATACAAAACTGCTTAACTATATTTGGAAAGATGGTCTGGTTTTGATTACTGTGGTCGATAGCAGATGGACCGGTCATTTGTGGTGAGCCATGTGTCCGGTCCTCGTCCTGCGTGATTTCCCGGTCCGAAAGTGTGGTTGTTCCAGCAAAAAGTTGGAATCTGCTTCTTTCAACTTCGGATGATTCCTGGGTAAATGGTGCGTAAATCTTTATTGTAGGATGATTCTTCTGTGCTTGGAAGTTTTTGGGACATTGCCAGGAAAAGAATGAGGTGGATGAACTCTACACCCAAGCGCAACGCGAGCTGCATAGCCTTCAGGTGAATGACTTGAGGGATCTCTGCGAAGAGAGGCGGGGTGCAGCAGGGGGAAGGAGCCGAGCAATGGGTACTTCCGCCATACATGGGGATGAAACCAACCCAACCAGTAGCCATCGGCCCAAACCATATTAAATTATATTAAATTAGTGTTTGGGACCTGCAAATGTATTGTCAATGTTCGGATCTAGACAATTCCAACAGTCTAAAACTATCCATGGGCCGTTGCCAAAGACTGGACTGACACTTGCCCTTACCATCCTTACCTTTGTTGCTCCCTTTTTTGGTGATTTGTTCTCGTAAGCTTTCGGAGGAAGCAAACATAATTTGTCAAAACATGCTGACACGAAGATGTGGCCGTCTCAGCTTGCGAGTTACGCGTTTCCTTAGACCCTTTGAGAATTGGTTCCTTGACGATTTACGCTTGAAACATGTCAAACATTGTTAAACCCCCTATAAAGATCAAACATCAGTTAGCTTCATGATTTCCTGTAGCTTTTGTCCGACTTTGCTCCCCCGGCTGAACAGCCGTTTCCCAGTTCTGCCTGCACAGGGGCTTGAGCTCTGAGGGCAGCAAGGTGGATTTGGTGAAGCGTCTAGCTGCACACCAGGCATGGCCTAACCTTCCCCAAAAATGGCAGATTTCCAGGTGAAAAAATGAGGAGCTTCCAAACTTTCCAAACCACCATGACGATGTCACCCGAAAATGATGTCGAGGCATCTAGCAGCCTTGAGCCAAGCGTTGCCGTAGAGAGGTGCCGAGCTTGGAGCGGGGGATGTCCAGAGCTTGAGCCATTTCCGGAATCTCGAAGCATCTCGAAGCTTAGCTTGAGCCATTTGAAGAGTTTCACGCTGAAACATGGTGAAACATGGTGAAACATGGTGAAACGATATGAAACCATTGGCCGATTGGATCCGATTGGCTAAGCGCTTCCCTCCACTTTTTGAGTCGAGGTCAGTTCTAAGCCCTGAAGAGCGAATTACCAAGGCCGTGACTAGCTCAAGCTGTAGCAGCATATGTAGTCCATATATGGAATAGCATCAAGGCCAAGGTACCACCTGGTACGACATGGCTTTGTGTAGCTCTATGAATTCGAAAAAACACGCCCATTGTTGTCATTTTCAATCCCATTTCTGTACTTTCCCTATCCATTGTTGATTCCTGGAACCCGGTGGTAGTTCCAGCCTCACTCCACCATGGCCAGGCCCTCGCAAGGGACAGTGAGCAAGATTTGAGACAAGTGGTGCAGGAGGGGCCAGATGGAATCCCGAAGTTAGCCAGCAAAATTGGTGCTTCCACGTTGTCACAGCGGTCTGCAAGAATCACTGGAATCACCCAGATGCTGTCAGATGCTGTCAGATGCTGTCAGATGCTGTCGTTGTTCGCAGGATATTTTCGAAGTTGGGCGTCCAAAGCCAGGAGAAATTGTGACTGTTCCGTCCTCAGGTCACTGAAGTCACTGAGGTCGCTCAGGTCACTGTCACAGCGCCACGACTGGAACACTTGCTGCCACAAAAGCCATGGACTTTGGGGGTGTTCATTCCTTCAATCTACAACATATATTAAACACATCATTCTGCGAGCAATTTAAAACATATGAACAATTATGAACTCAAGGTTTTCATGTCGAGCCTACCCTCGCGCTGGCCCGTAAAGCAGAGCGACATGCCATGTGGCGCGCAGGACCTGAACACTCGCATGATATCACTACAATCCAACAGCTCCCAGCGGGACACAGGACTCACCATGACACCCCAACAGGCTTCCGATCCCAGTGGTGAAAATGTGAGTGCCATGCTACCCATGCTACCCATGCTACATGAAAATCCAAATTACGAAAGAGCACCAGAAAAAAGGTCAAATCCAGTGTCGGAATATAAGATAAGACTATATGTCACATTGTCACAGCCTCAGGATAATTGTATGTCAGAGCCCTTGTCGCAGGGCACGAAAAAGGTCAAACAATATATCAAAACATTCTTCATACATACATGTCTGACCACGTGTCCTAACAAAATTCAAACTGCATAGCAAAAGATACGTCAATGATTTTGTCCGCATTTATCTTACATCAGATATACCAAAAGATGTCTCCAACTAAATGTCTACGCTGTCCACACATATCCGGAAGTCAAATGTCAAGCCGCACCCGAATCTCCGTTCTAAGATGCCAGCTGGAACTGAAAACATAGTGGCGTTCTCACGTCTTAAGGGACCCCGTGTTCAGCGACTCCCTCAGCTGGGACTAGTGCGTGGCACTGTGGGAAGCACACCGCAATTCTCACCGCCTCTGACTTTCTGTTCTATTTGAGCGACAATTCAGGAACCAATCATTTTTTTTTTGCCTCATGCTTTGGCTTTGTGCTAGCCCCAAAAAAACCCCTCTATGAAAGGGATGATCAATATACATCAATATACCGTATCCCCAGAATTCCAAACCAACCCCAATTCCACAGTTCCACTTCGATTGCTGAGGGCGTGGTTACCTCCATTGTTGAGTGGGGTGCATTTGTGGAGTTGGACAAAGATGGCTGGTGCGCTGCCGTGCTGCCGTGGCTGTCGTGGCTGTGAGTTTCAAGAGGGCTTCAAGCCTTAAGTGCAACCTGAATGTTTTTGTAAACGATGATAAACAATGTATGAGAATGGTATAATGGTATATCCAATGGTATAATCATGGGATAATATTGGGATAAAAAAATGGCTTTTTTAAAACGGGGGCTTTTGAACGGTTGCCGAAGTTTCTGGGAAGGTCTTGTGTTAATCGGAAAGGATCCAGAGAATCAGCCATGGATCGAGCTGCGAAAACCGGTGGTTTTCTGAAGCGAGTTTGCTCTGGGATTTCCTATGGGATTTTCTATGGATACCAAAAATCCTACAAAATCCATAAAAATCCTACTTGGTGGTTCATCCCACGGCTCGTAAGTGGGTAACCCTACAAAAATCCTATGTAAATCGCTGGGAATTCTGGGCTTTTTGGAGGTCAGCCTTGATCCACATCTCCGAGGCTCGGAGGTCTATTTCTTGACAACTGGCTGTATCAAGAAGTGTCAATCATGGTTATTATGGATCACTTTGTGTGATTTTTATCTACTAATCTTCCAAGATGACCATTCCTATTCCATCCATTTCCAACAAGACAGAGACTTTGAACCGTGTGACACTGTTCCTTTCTTTTTTTTGGGAGTAGCTGCAACGATACGCCACAGAGTTCTGGTGTAGATCAGCGATACCTTCATCGAAAACATCGAGGAGTACATCTGTCCTGGACAGCGTGTTGAGGTGCCGAGATGACAGATGTGACAGATGTGTACTGGTTGGTGGTTTCAAAGATGACTGGATTATTTTCCATTTCATATATGGGATGTCATCCTTCCCATTGACTTTCATATTGTTCAGAGGGGTAGGTTGAAACCACCAACCAGTGTAAAAAATCCATGGTGTCATGGTCCTGTCATGGTGTCACCTGAAGTCAGGAACTCACATGTTTCACAACATGCTGACTCTTCAGTGCGCCCGCAGAGGCTCTTGTGCTTCAAAGTCCCATTGATCGGATGGATAGGCGGGGAACATGGGTCGGGTTGATTTTTCTGTCCCTTTTTGGGGATGAACACCAGCTTAGCTCAGCTTCAAATATCTGGAGATTGATATCCCATACATTCCCAATGGTTGGGTGTTTAGTTCGTACATTTACCAAGCCTTTTTTGGTGAGAATCATCGTCAGGCTCTCGCTGTCCATCAGGCGGCTCAAGGACCTCCAGAGGTGGGATAAAATGGGATAAACCACCTATCAACTGGTGCAGGATTTCTGCCATCCACTGATAGAAAATCATTTTGTTTGATTATTGATGAAATCTAGCTGAATGATGATTTTCAACTGGATTCTAAGTTTGGATTCTCAGTCATGTTTTAGTTCCAGATGCGTTTCTTTTTTTGCACAGCTTGAATGTCGAAAAACCGTCTGTGATTCTTGGATGACTAGCTTTATGAGATTTGAGTTTGTTGCAAAATGGAGGATGCCCCAATACATGGCATAAAAACATTGGGAACATGATTTTTGAAAGCATGGCGTGAGACGGGCTGCATTAGCTGCAGGTATGACCCTGAAGCTGTGGCCACGGTCGGAGCATTGACACCTCTGGCCAGGCGAGACGAGCCACTCCCCAGCCCTGCAAAGGGAATCGACAGAATAATTTTAGTCATGTCTTTTTGGATTCAGCAACAATTCAATTCAAGGATATTCAAGGAACAATCCATAGCCATCGAGAAGAAATGGGGGTTTCATCGAGGGGTTCCCAGCTTGGTTTGCTGGGAATTCTATCCTAGGATTTTCTTCGTATGCATAGCAAGCTCCCCAAGTCACAGCAGTATTTTTATGGTCAAATCATGAATTTTGTTGATCCGAAAAAATCCACATTTTGACAGCTGGCGGTTTTTGCTACGCTCCATCTAGTGAATCTAGTGGAGTGACCACCAAAAATCTGAAGAGCTGATTTCGTCCCCTACTTCCAGCGTGGTGACTCTGGGATATGTTGAATTGCTTAGTGTTAAACCATTAAGTATCCCCATTAATATCCCATGGAAAATATTGGAAAATCACAATGTTTGGTTGGCTAAACCACATTAAACTGCAATTATTTAATTTTATAGATTTTATGCCGTTTTATTTCCACAATTGTTGGTCTATTCCCACTATATTCCCATTATATTCTTATTACATTCCCATCATTGGGGATGGCATTATATTTCACATTCCCATTAATATCCCATTATAGCTGATGATTGATTCCCGTCAATATCCTAATATAGAACTATGAATTCCCATCAAATTTTTCCATTGATATTCCCATAGATATACCATTCATAGCCAGTATCCCAGTGGCTATCCCACTGTGACCGTCTTGTGAGGCCAAATGTGGTGCGAGAAGAAGTCTTCGAAGCTCTTCAGGAGATCTGCAACCTGCAATCGATTGGCGCGCATAGTACAGCAATGAAATTTCAGGTAATTTGGTGAACGAATAAGTTAAGTAGGTCGAGCATTACATAGCATGACTAATGTTACTAGAAAGTCTCTGTTCGGACGGAGTTACAAAAGATGGCCCATATCAGCCGTTTGAACGTTCGCCGCTGTTAGCCCCGTGTAAGACGTGGACATCTCGATGGGCTGGAGAATTTCAGGGACCGGACCTGGCAAAAGCCATGGATTTTGCTGGCGAAACCGATCTAAAACTGGATTTATTGATATTTATTGCAAACAATCCATTATAACATATTATAACTATATATGTTGTGTACATGATATATATATATATTTTACTGTATATGGATCTGTTGGAAGCAAACCATTTGTCTCATGCATCCCATTTGTACATGACCTAGCGCTTTTGACCTTATTTCTGGATAAATCAGATAATTATCATTTCTCACATCTATCGCATTTCTATGATTGGCAGTGAAATTCCTCATGATATTTGGACGTGCATCTCAGCTGGTATTTGGGTAATAGCTATGACAGCTATGGCAGCTATGATTTGTTTACCCATTGATTTCTGCGATTTTCATCGTCCACTTACCAAACATTCTTCACTGCTCACAGCATAGTATCTTTTGTTTATCTTTGGGTGACATATCCATGTTCATCAGTTGTGATTTGATTTCCCATTTTATCTGGGATAAACCGATAGTCATTCGGTATCAAATGTCATCAACCGCAGATGATTCCGGTGTCCCGCTCCATCCATTGCCCAGCACTGAAAAGAACCAACATATGGATCACCCAGTTTCTCTGCTCAGAAACTCTAAAGATTTGTAAAGACCATGGTAAAACGCTGTGCCAATTGGCCAATTCCCAATAAAATCAAATCAGCGAGATGATCCGTAGAATCCTCATGAAGGAGCGTGTGGCTGCTTTGGAGGCCATCGTCATTGAGATGGGCCATGGTCAGGCACCACGAACGCTGGACTTTGCCTGGCGGAAATGTTATCATCACCTGTTGTTGTTGTTGTTGTTGTATGCTATTATCATCTATTGTTATTGTTGTTATTTTTCGTAATAGTAATAATGATTTCATCCTAATGATCATTGCATTTGTAAATAGAGGTCTCACCTATTGACCAAATGGGTTTGTTCAAATGGTTCATCATGGTTTTCTGAACTGAAACGTAACTTTTTTTGGGGTATACAAATCCGCATACCCCATTTCCAGACCAACACAAAATTTTGATGACAAAATATTTGGGTATATATAAAATATAAATATATACTATATTCGGGAAGAAAAAGCCAGCTCAATTTTGAAATACTTTACCGTAATGGAAATTCACATTATCTGTTGAAGTTCAATTTTGTGGCCCTTTTCTACGTTGCGCCACATAGCGAAGCTGTTCAGAACGTTGCGCCACTAAGGACCACCGCCTGCCTAGCCGCGTGGGTTTTTCTTTAAATCTTCCCTGCTGTTGTTGATTTGCCCAAGGGCTTTTTATGGCTTGTAGCCAAAACAGTATTTGTGATCATATAATCTCTAAATTGACCATTAGTTCGAATCCCAAATTTGGTGCTGTTGAACTGTTGATTAATCCCGCATTGAGTTGTTAAGGATATCCCATGATTCCAACTAAGGAACATGTTACAAGGTGACGCCCCCCCAATTATGAGTTGGTGTATAAACCGCATTATAGTTATAGTTATGTATATTTATTTATTCCCCATAAACCATAGAATTCAAACAGTTATGTGAGTTATGTGAGTTTAGTTTGTGTCAACTTCGCTATCACAACAGAGGCCCTACGGGACGCCCGTTCGGATGCCAGCGCATCAACCCGCAGGCAGGGAAAAATTTGGTGGTATGCTGCATTGGTCAAACCGTTTGGGGAGAGCACAAGATACAAAAAGCCACATTAAATGTGTATGAAAACCACATTATCTTAGATAGGTGTTGAGAAATTTGAGAAACACTTTAAAAATGCAGTTGTACTTTAGTACTTCAACGTTATTTCAGATTTTGATGGGACAAGACAAGCTGTTGTTTTTCGCAAATTGCATCTTGAGACATCTCAATTGCTGACGTTTCCTGACATTGGGGGATAGTTATCGGCTCAATGATTGGGATTTGATACCCAGAACTATTTGAAGGTCTTGAGTGTGGCTCAAATATGGGCACTAGGAATGGGGGTATAGCCGGTGGACTCTTGGTTCTTCCAATTTTCGTTGGTGGAATTCCTGCTATCTATGAATTCCGCAGTGCTATTCCTTCAATCCCAATTTTGCTGTTCGAATGACTATTCCTTTTGCTGAATCGACCTTATAGTGAGTTTTAGATCCCGATTCCTTGTAAAATCCACAGAATCATTCCTGCAATTCCATTCCTATTGGGTGATTCCGCAACATCATTTGTCAAATATGCATTCTAGTTTTATCATGATTCAAATCCCCATTCCTCTTGGGGAGACACAACTGATGACTCCGGACATTCGCATTTGTCAAATCCGTGTGATGCTTGAGCGAATTTCTGAAGAAACCCACAGCATCATTCCCAAAATATCTGCTCTCACCAGTTGAATCCATGTTGTCGCTATCGTTGTTTCCCATTTCAAAATCCACGTGATCATTCCTTGAATCTCACTGTCATTGGCATTGACCTAAAATGCTAGAATTGTGATGGCGCTACAAATGCATTAAATATTATTAAATAATATTAAACATTATCAACACATTATCAAACATTATCAACATTATTAAACATTATTGATCATTATCAAACATTATTAAACATTATTAAACATCATTAAACATATGAAACTTGGCAAGACAGTTCCCACTGAACTGTTTTTTTTTCAGTTTTGTGACACTCGAAAACTTGGCTTCATCTCCAGCGGTCCGTCGGTCCAACGCTTCAACGAGCCAAACAGGAGCCGTGTTGCTCCGCTGACCGAAATGCTGAACGACCTGCACGACAATGGTCCTCCTGAAGAGTCGCAGCCCTAAGCAGCACCATACGTGAGGTGCAGGACTCGAATTTTACTGGATATGAAATTCACCAGAGTTGTGCCTCATATCCTTCCGGAGTACTCCCATAGTCATAGCCGTTAAGTATGACCCAGGAATCGCACAGGGTGTATGGGTGACATCCTCTATGGCCAGGGTTTCAGGCTGGGAACCATCCATACTATAAATTCATTCAACCAAATATATTCTATTTGATCCCTTTATCGTGACCAAACATTTTTTAGCTGACCGTTTTGGGGCCCTCGCCACTAACCAATGGTGGGTAGACCTCAATGTGAATAGTGCACATGGGAGTTTGAACCGAGAAAATTGCATGCTGAACTAGTGAAGAAAGATAGGCTTTCGCATGTTTTTTTTTGCTGCAAATTATGGTGGAATATTTATATCCAGCAAAGAACAACTGTTTGGCGCATCGGAACCACAGATAGGCTTGTCATTTTTGGAAAGCCAGAGACCACAAGCCACATCATTCACGGCCAAGGCCCATGTCCGTCAAGAAAGAGAAGGCAACGTGGCAACGCCATGGGAATTGGGATGATTTTCCATCCAAAATCACCAATAAGTTGGGCAACGGCAATGGTTACGGCTCAAATTTGGATCCAAAAATGGAGCTACAGCTGATCGGAGGCATCCGTTTAAATTTCCGTCTAATCTACTGGTACACATGGTTCTTACTTTGGATTCATCATTATAATTATAATTATTACTCTGGGGTACCCCCTTTGCTGGCCAAAAAATGACTCAGAAGAGCCTTTTTGAATAGAGACTTCTGAACAGAAAAACATGTCATTTTTGTTTGAAATCTGCAAGGGGGACTTGGATGGTACCACCCTTGTTGTGGTCGAAGATAGACCACGCATCTAGCACCCGGGTCTATGTAAACCATAGGGACCCACTTTATCTTCGTTAAGATCCACTCTGCTTCAAGGGCTATGTCCAAAGTCTATCTTAGTGAGCGAAAGTGTTCTTGTTTTTCACGAAAGGTAGCGTCAGCTACCTGAGTTCTCCGTGCTTCAGCACAAGCTTAGGGGGTATTGGGGGGCCAGCCCACGGAATTCATGGAATTCTCGCCGTTATGTATTGGATATCAATTATAAGGGGGGCCCCCCCCCCCGAAAATGGTCATGGATTCAATTCCCACGGGTGACGCGGTCACGGGCCCCCACATTAGAGGCACACTTTCCATGAGGGAGATGTCCCTGTAGTCCAGCATAATTGGTATGCTTCAGCCTCCATAACAGATGCTGCAAGGGGTCTTAAAAAGGGGTTTTAAATAAACCCCTTTTCGTGCATCATTTCACGCTGCACAAGACACCGTATCATGCAGTCATGCTCTGGATAAAATCATCTTAGACTGCGCAAAAACGCTTTTGGTGTATCATCTTAGGGGCGCAGCATTTTGACACCACTCCTCTCCCACTACACTACCTTTCGTCCGCCTCCGCCTGCTCTCAAGTTGATCTTGCAACTGTCGTTTTTTACAAAGAATCGTAGACCTCAGTGTGTCGTTTTTCCTCACCGGGGTCTATGTTTATTTAACTGAGTGTACATGATTTGCTTTTTGAATAGGTTTAACCGGGTTCTCGGAATTCCATCTACAATCGAAATCCCAATTTTCCAGCTCGATTCAGGCGGCCATCGACCAGGTGATTGAAAGTCTCCTAAGTGGCAGCAGCCGAGACGCAGAAAGATCATGATATCATGGGGATATAGCAATCCTCAAAAAATTGAACGATTTTTTCTGGGAATATCAAAAACAAAGACTTAATGTAGTATCATGAGATTATATCAGGGGTATTGATGAATGAAACATGGCCATGATTTCTGGCCGGCAAAATGGTGAACCATCGGATGTCTTTGGGTACTCGTTTTGTTTAAATTCCTTTTCGCTATTGAGATTGCAAGTACGGGGTATATCCAAATTTTTGGACAAAGCCAAAGTCGTTAGTTATTCCCAACTATATAGTACGTTGATAAAATGCCACAACCCAATTCACCAGCCTAAATATATGATATTTGTGGGTACTTGCCCATTATATTGCATTATATTTTCACAGATTGTTTTTTTAAAAAATAATCCCTCAACTCATTCTTAGACTAGCCCATCAAGGATGATCCCAGTAACTGATGTAACTGGTGAGTGAATAAAAATGGCACCAGCCTGCTTAATCATGGATACTCTTTTCCAAGGAACGCCATTTCCGGTATTTCTTGCTGAGCCATCTCCATTTTGGCTTCAAATAGCCATTGAGCCCCGCATTGGTCCAAATTCCAGGTTCAGACGTCTAGGTGGCGAGCAGTGGTCCGGAGGGGTCCGCAACGGATTGCCACGCTGGACCGAGGTTTACCGAGGTTTCGGGTTGTGGATTTCACCAACAGAGTTTCAGGTTGAGCAAAGACTTCTTGGAATTTAATGGATAGAACTGGAGGATTTAGAAAAAAGTAGGGAAGAGAAAGTCAAAGCGGTGTTTCCTATTTTGTCCTGTTCTCAACGAAAAATGTAGACTATCCCCAATTCGAACAGAAATTGGTGGGATTTCAAACATCCGAATTGGAGGTTTATGCATCTGGGTTTACCACATTGCTTTGCTTTACTCTGGTTCATGCCACAACCATTTCACACACCGAACCGTGCAGTGTCATTTACACATTTCCCAAGTTGCTCTGGCAGGGGCAAGGATGAATCGTAGATTACGGTTTACCTTCTTCAATGATGTAGGTTATGGGTTATGAGAGCGAAATGGTTCTTAGATTTTCTGTGTTTCCCCACCTGCCAGGTGAGGGTCTCTAGATTTTAACAAAGGTGCAGCTCCTCCTCCTCCTCCGCCACTCCTCATCCGCCAATTCTCTGCCTCCCCCGCTCCTTCTCGTTTCTCCTTCTGCCAGCTCGTCGTCACTGTGGTGCACCTCACAACCTCAGCAGTTCATTTCTTCTGCATCTCACAGACATTCCTATGGGGCATTGATATTTTATAGATATGTTGTTTTCTCGAAACTTCCGCCCCAGTACGGCCGGGCACTATCTGGTATGTATGTACATATGTATATACATGTGTATATATATATATTGTAATTTCCACATTTGATTCCAACCATCCGGTCACGGTCATGCCTTGGGGACATCAACAATCCAGACCCTGTCAGGTATCAAAACAACACTGCCTTCGAAAGGCATTTTCGGCTCTGGGAGCTAGGCAGCGGGTGGGAGGGTTTTCTCCATTGCCTTTTTAGCCATAGTGGTTGCATAGCAGACAGGGTCTGCACTTGGTGCCATTGCTATCTTGAAGAGGACGAGGCCGTCCCCGGGTTCTTGGTAAGTGGCCTGTGGCCAAAGGCTATTCATAAGACAGTGGATTCCGCTGGACCTTGCAACGAGCTGGGAAAACTGACTGAGTGCTTTGGGAAGCGTGTGGTCAGGGAACAGTTTTGAATACAGCAACATCATTTTGGACATTTTGTCTACTTTACTGATTTTGCTCCTGCCAATCACATTGGTAGCGGAGCTGCCAAAGCGCAGCATCCGGGAAGATGGAAACAACAGGTGGTGGTGATGGTAGCAGCAGTACAGTCACAAACCAGCTGGCGTCACTGGTGCCATCATTCGATCCGTCAAAGGATGACATGCGACAGTATCAACAACGGGTGGAGCTTGCCACAGCAGCCTGGCCTAAAGGCCGGTACACTGAGCTGGTCACAAGGCTCATACTGAATTGTTCAGGCAGCGCATTCGCCAAGCTGCAGCTGAACCATCAAGAGCTTTTGGCCAATGATGAGAAGAGTGTGCATAAGCTGGTCGAGTTGTTAGGTGGGTCATGGGGCAAAGTGGAACTCGAGAATCAGTACGACGATGCGGAACAGGCTTTGTTCAACACGGTTCAAAGGGGAGACGAAAGTCACGATTCATATCTGGCCCGTGCTGATGTGGCATGGAGCCGGCTTTTGAGCAGACGTTTGACCCTCGAGGAGCTCCAAGCCTACATTGTCCTCCGAGGCTCAGGGCTGACACCCGAAGAGAAGAAGCGTGTGATCTTAGATGCAGATCAGAGTTCATCTGGAAAGCTGACCATGAAACGTGTACATGAAGCAGTCCGCCTTTTGGGCGCATCGTTTTTCATGGACATGACAGGTCAGAAAAGAAACAATCGTACAAAGGTGTATACACAGGAGACTCTGGTGGCTCAAGATGACCAGGAAGAGCCAGAGGATCCGACCTTTTGGACGAACGATGAAATGACGGATGAAGATTACATTGACTCATTGGTTCAAGCTGGCGATGAGGATGCAACATTAGTCGCCGACTTCGAAGAGGCGGCGGCGGAAGCTCTTCAAGAAGATCCCAGTCTGTCCAGTGCCTACACGGCGTATCAAGATGCTCGCCGACGCCTTGCAGAAAAAGCCCGGAACCGTGGATTTTGGGCGGTGTCCAAGAACCCAACATATTCTGGCAATTCCAAGGGGAAACAGAATTTTTCCAAAGGGGCTTCAAAGGGCAAGTACGGTTTTTCAGGAGGCCGTGGTCGACGATCATTGCAGGATCGAATCATGAATTCTCACTGCCGGATATGTGGTCGCAAAGGCCATTGGCGGGCAGAATGCCCACAAAGGGGTCAAAGTAGTCAATCAACTGCAGCCGGATCAGTCACCAGCACATCCATGCCCACCACCAACGTGGTGCCCGTGACGGAAGAGGGAGTTGATGCACTGCCGCTGGAATTCCTCCAGCTTCCCGTCGTGCATGAATCCACCCTGGATGAGGAGACCAATGCCACTGATGTGCTGCTTTGTAATTGTTCAATGGGTAACCCATCACCACCGAAGTATCCTTTGGGGAGGTTGCTTAATGTTGAAGGGAGCCCAAGCCAAAATAACCCCAATGAGAATGACATGTGTTTTATGAGACCCTCCATGAGCCAATTGCACAACACCCTCCGCAGGAGAGCCAGTGAGCAGTCCAATCGTTGTCGCAATAAGCTTAGGAACCGTGTCCAGCGTCAGTCAACAGCCCAGGTCTCATCGCAAGTCCGCGTAGGCCTCCAAACTGCCAGTGTCCAGAACAAAGTCCATAAGTCTCAAGTCACTCCAGTTGTAAGCATGAATAATCCACAGGTTGAAACCTTAGATGATGTCATTTGCTTTGCAACCCATGGAACCCATGGGGTACTGGACCTTGGAGCATCCAAAACGGTCATTGGTAGTGAGTTCGTGCCGAGCTTAATTCAGGGACTTCAAGAATGCATCCCTGGGAAGATCCGCAGGTGTTCGTGCCGCATCACATTTAGGTTTGGCAATCAGGGGACACTCACGTCAGAACAAGCACTTGTCATACCAATCGGAAAGTTGATGCTGAAGGTAGCAATTGTTCCAGGTCGAACACCATTTTTGCTGAGCAACTCGTTGATGCGTGCCTTGGAAGCTCGCATTGATTGTAGCACATATACCCTTACGAGTCCCATGTTCTCCAAGAAAGTTCCACTGGATCTCACAAGCCGAGGTTTGTTTTTGCTTGATGTTTGCAAACTTATCCATAGTGCCAGTGGGAGGGACACCAAGGGTCAAGTGGTTGCTGCAGAGACCGGTGTCGAGACACACACTGCCCACGAGGAAGAAAGTCGCCGCCCGATCAGTGAACAGGGTAAGCCAACCAACAGTGTCCAAACAGCCAGTCAGCCAAGTGCCGAAGCCAATAAGGGTCCCATAAAGGGGTTAGACTCAGATAACCTGGATAAAGGGGATAAGGTAAAGGGTGTAATTACCTCAAGTGTTCAGCCTGCCATCCACTCGTCCAGTGAGTACCAAAGGGTTTCAGTTGCACAGCATGTCAACAAATGGAACATCGTCACACAGACGTCGCCAGATCGAGAACACCCACAGGTTGTGGTTCAAGATTCGCCCAGTGAAGGTCCCTCTCATAGATCGATCGCAGAGAGTCATGTCCAACCAATTGACTCTGAGCCAGCGCCTGAAGAAAGCGCGCGAGCAAGATGGGAAGACCGAAGTGGAAGCCATGACGATGGCACAGCTGTCGAAGGAGCGAGTGACATTCGGAGCCAAGTATGTCAACTACACATACCAGCACATGTGGGACAACCACCCAGACTGGATTCAGTTCATGGTGGATCGCTACGCCAGCAGCAAGAAGAAAGACCATCAGAAGCTGATGCGTTACGTGAGTCTGAAGCTGGAATGTGTGGAGAATGCTCAGGACCAGATGCCAGTCATGCCAAGGGGAAGCCAGTCTTGAGGGTCGTTGGGACAACAGGCAAAGTACAAGGCTATGCCTCAGACCAAGGCAAAAGCCAAGGGGTGTTCGACTTCTCAGGAATCAGTCGAAGATCAAGCCTTCGAAATGCCTATCAGCGACCAGTGGGAGGAGGACTTCGGGGACATCGATGCAGCACACGAGATGTTCTGCCCGGAGATTATGACGGACAGTGTGGCTCAGCAGAATGCCGAGGCGATGCAGTCCAGGATCACCCACATCGAGCAGGCTCTCCAGCAGGTCATCCGACATCTGGAGAACCCCATGCCCCACAACCAGGGCGATCATCACGTGGACCAGAGCTTGTGAGAGAGGATAATCTAACGGATCCGTGCCTGTCAGCCAGCCATGAGACGAACCGAGTGCACTCGATCATCCAACAGATCACTCAGGAATTGCAAAGGGTGTTGTCTAGGACCAAACCCATTGGTAAAGCATACACGTTAGCTGAAGTGTTTTGCAGCAGCCGGTCACCACTGACACAACAGGTCAATGCACTCGGACAGAAAGCAATTCGGTTTGGCTATGATCAAGGAGACCTTGCCACAGTGGAAGGTCGGGTTGCCCTGTTTACACAAATAGCAGTTCACCGCCCAGAACATGTGTGGTTCAGTCCTACATGTGGTCCTTGGTCATCCTGGACAAACCTGAACATGTCTCGGTCTCTTGAACATTTTCATGAGTATCAACAGCAAAGGGAACAACTTCTGTACCAAATAGCTTTGGGGATTGTTTTATGTAGGCACCAAATAAGTCATGGGAGACACATGCATTGGGAGCAACCGGGCCGATCACTCATGTTGCGTCTGCCTTGTATGCAAGAGATCCATAGCTACACTCAAGCGTGTCAGTTCGACATGTGCCGTGCTGGAAACTTGGTAGACCCGGTGTCACACATGCCCATTCGCAAGAGCATGGTGTTACTGACCACCTCCAGGAAAATGTATCATCGATTTCATGGCCTGACTTGTCTAGGAAATCATGAACATCAGCCGATTGAAGGGTCAGTCATGCATGGACAACACCGTGTCCTGAGAAGCCAGTACACAGAGGTATACCCTCGCAAGTTTGCCCGTGCCACCGCTCAGATCATGTGCCACAACAAATTCGAAAGGCCATTGCACTGGAATCTCATTTGGCCTCTTTTGAATGCTGAACGCAACAGTCCCTGCGAATCAGACGAAGCTCTGGTCACAGAGCCAAAGCGCTCAGCTGACAAGTTCCCAAAATCCGAGTTGCTGACACCAGTCCCACTGCAGGAAGCTGATCCCAAACGGAGAAGAGTCGAGGGTAAGCAAGCCCCAGTCCTGTGTCAAGAACTTGTCCAGGAAGTCATAGATCAGGTGGACAAGGTGTTGCCCAGAGTTGGTAGGATGCAAATCACCAGTCCCAGTCTGTTGAGAGGGATCAGCAACATTTTTCCTGACAAGGACATAGTGCAGGTCATTGCATGCCGCGGTACCGACCGAACAGTGGGACCACCAACTGAACTACATAGAGATGAGGCCCCATATCGTAGATCAATAATGTTGATGCGTAACACTGGAGAGCTCAAAATCGAACGATATTGGGAAAAATGGAATCAGTTATCTCAGAGACAACTTGTTAGACCAGCCCATTCATGTCGGATCAATATCACAGTGTTTGCACGTGACCGAAATCCAGAAAGACGCACAGGAACAACCGAGACACCAGAAGAACCATCCAGCAGCTCAACAGATCAACAGGTAGCCAGGATAGACAGTGACCCCGCTGTGCCAATGGACGACACGAGGAATCCACCAACTGTACAGCCTAGCGAGGTGCGAGCCAGTGAGCAATCGGCCCAATTCAAAGCTTTGTCAAGTTGGGATCAAAATATGATCATTCGAATGCATAAGAACCTTGGCCATCCAAGCAATGATCGTCTCTCAACAGCTTTGAAGCAGGCTGGATATCGCCCTGAACTCGTGCAGGCTGCCAGCGAACTCCAATGCCAGGTTTGTCAGTCCAGCGCAATCCCAAAACACCAAAAGCCAGCGACATTGAAGCCAAGCATGGATTTCAACTCCAAAATGTACATTGATAACGTGACATGGACCAGTCAAGCAGGTAAATCCTATCACTTTTATCACATGTTGGATGCGGGGTCAAATTTTCATGTGGCCATAATAGCCCCTGGTGGAACAACAACAAGTGTTATAAATATCATTCAACAACATTGGATGAGTTGGGCTGGACCCCCAAATGAAATCATGTTTGATGCCGGATCAGAATTCCTCAGCACCGAATTCACTGAATTCTTGAACAAGTTTGGGATTAAGGATATCGCTGTGCCTCCAGAAGCTCACTGGCAAAACGGAAAGATTGAGAGACATGGGGGTTTTCTACAAAGCATGCTGTCCAAAGTGGATAAGGAACATCCCATCACTAATTATGAAGAACTTCAGATGCCATTGAATCAATGCACACATGCGAAAAATACATTGAGCATTCGTCATGGGTACAGCCCTGAACTCATAGTATTTGGTAAGCATTCACGATTGCCTGGTTCAATTCTTAGTGATGAGTCCATGCCATCCCATACACAAGCACTCCAAGAAGATGAAAACCTCACGCCTCAGAGATTCAAAAGGCTACTGGCCATCCGAGAGGCCGCACGCCGGGCATACCATGTGGCCGACAACTGTAACGCTTTGCGTCGTGCCATGTTGAGCAGATCCTGTCCATCCCGAGGAACATACGCTCGTGGTCAACATGTCATGATTTGGAAATCCAATATAGGTGGTAATCCCCAATGGATAGGACCCCATAGGGTTATAATCCAAGATGGTAACCATACCGTATGGACCACCCAAGCCGGGAAGTTGTTTAGAAGGGCCCCAGAACATGTAAGACCTGCGCTGCCTGAAGAAGTCACTTCCTCACCGGAAGAACCATGTGAGTGGTCCACTCTGGAACAGCAGATCCAGAGAATGTCCAGGTCAGTGGATGAAATTCCCACAGATCAGCCGCCCGTGCCTGAAACTTCTATGCCCAATGCAGGGGATCCTGAAAACCAACCACCAGGAAATGTGTCGATGGAAAGAGAGGTAAGTGTGCCGGAAACAGTACCACAGCCAGATCATGAACCCGAGCATAGCCAAGTAACCCCACCCGAAATCTCATCAGAAGAAGATAGCTCCCTGGAAGTAGTTGGATTGTATTGTGAGGATGATGATACATATGACGATGTGCTCTATGCCCAAGAAGACACTGCCTGGAGATGTGAAATAGACATATCGTTAGACCAATCTCTACGGGATCATCAACCTTCTCTTGAAGAGTCATGTGTATTGCTGGCGACCAATGCTAAGAAACAAAGAACGGAAGTCAAACTAAGCACCCTATCCCCGAGTGAAAAAGCAGAGTTTGAAAAAGCAAAACTAGCTGAAATTCAAAACTGGATTCAGACGGGAACCATCTCAAGGGTATTCAAAGACCAGATTTCCCCCGAACAGATCCTCAGGTGCAGATGGATTTTGACGTGGAAGCCAATAGATAACTCTAATAGCCCCACCGATAATCCCCAGATTCCTATCAAGACGCACAAGGCGAAAGCAAGGTTAGTAGTACTAGGCTACCTGGACCCCAAGATTGAGGAGATCCCTCGCGACTCACCAACGTTGAACAAAACATCAAGGATGCTGATCCTCCAAATCATTGCAGCAATGGGTTACACCCTGCAATCATTTGATATAAAGGCTGCATTCCTTCAGGGGCAACCCCAATCATCAAGACTCATGGCCATAGACCCAGTCCCCGAAATGCGCAAAGTCATGAACTTAGCTCCAAATGAAGTCGCCCGACTCAATAAAGGGGCCTATGGACTTGTTGACGCACCATATCTCTGGTTTTGTGCTTTGCAGGAAGAGCTTCTCAGGTTGGGATTCGAAACAAGTCCTTTTGACCCATGTGTTTATATACTCCGGGAAAAGGAACATGGCAAAAGCACCAACAGAATTGCTGGAATCCTAGGAGTCCATGTTGATGATGGCATTGGGGGGGGTAATGACTATTTCAAACAACAAATAGCTGCCCTCGAAAAGAAATACCCATTTGGTTCCAAAAAGACTACTGCTTTCACCTTTACAGGGATTGATTTGCAACAAAGAGGTGACCACAGCATAGTACTAAGCCAGTCTGCCTATGTACGGAAAATTCCTGCAATCAACATCGAAACGAACAGAAAGACCATGGACCAGGAGCCGGTCACGGAGAAAGAACGCTTATTGCTCAGAGGCCTGATCGGAAGCTTGCAGTATGCCTCGGTAAACGCCAGACCTGACATATCAAGCAAGTTGTCAATCCTCCAATCCCAGATCAATAAGGCCACAGTGGGCGTACTCCATGAAGCAAACAAAGTTCTCCATGAATCCAAGAAACATCACGACGTCCAAGTAACAATTAGACCAATCCCTATGAATGATTTTCGACTGATGGCATTCTCAGATGCATCCTTTGCATCGGTTCATAAACCTGACTCACACTCCGGTGTCATAATCGTAGGAACCCATAAGAAAATTGCCGAAAATCATCAATGTCCCATAAGTCCCATATCCTGGGGTTGCAAGAAAATACAGAGAGTAGTGACTAGTACTCTATCTGCTGAAACCACAGCACTTGCATCTTCCTTGGATCAGTTGTCATGGAAAAGACTGTATTGGGCATGGCTGAAGGATCCTCAAGTATGCTGGAAACAGCCTGACAAGAGCCTGTCAAATCTCGAGCCGGCAGTCGCTGTACCAACCTTGCAACATGAGTGTGATCTCGCAATCACCGATTGCAAAAGCCTGTACGACCTTGTAACAAAGACCGCTCCACCCCAGTGCTCTGAATTCAGGGTGCAATTAGTGGCACGAGCCATAAAGGAAACAATCCAGGAAGGCATACAGGTAAGGTGGGTTCACTCAGCCGCTCAACTTGCGGACGCGCTCACAAAGTCTATGGAGTCAAAGTTTTTGAGGGAAACGCTGCGGTACGGCGAATACCGACTCGTTGATGAAACATCGACTCTTCGAAACCGTGCACTTTCCAAAGATCGGATCCGATGGTTGAAAGAGCATCAGGAATCAAATCAATGTATGCCTTGGGGACATCAACAATCCAGACCCTGTCAGGTATCAAAACAACACTGCCTTCGAAAGGCATTTTCGGCTCTGGGAGCTAGGCAGCGGGTGGGAGGGTTTTCTCCATTGCCTTTTTAGCCATAGTGGTTGCATAGCAGACAGGGTCTGCACTTGGTGCCATTGCTATCTTGAAGAGGACGAGGCCGTCCCCGGGTTCTTGGTAAGTGGCCTGTGGCCAAAGGCTATTCATAAGACAGTGGATTCCGCTGGACCTTGCAACGAGCTGGGAAAACTGACTGAGTGCTTTGGGAAGCGTGTGGTCAGGGAACAGTTTTGAATACAGCAACATCATTTTGGACATTTTGTCTACTTTACTGATTTTGCTCCTGCCAATCACAATATATGTATATATAAATATACATATATGTATATATATATATATGTATATACACATGTAAATATATCAATGTATATTTGTATATATTTAATTGTATATATTTACATGTATATATTTATATACATATGTATAAATATATACACACATATATATATATTTAAATATACACATACGTATATATACACACATATATATATATGTAAATGTGAATATATATATATACACATATATTTATGTATGTATGTATGTATGTATGTAATGAAATGTTATGCAATGTTATGTAATGTTACGTAATGTTATGTAATGTTATGTAATGTTATGCAATGTTATGTAATGTTATGTAATGTTATGTAATGTTATGTAATGTTATGTAATGTTATGTAATGTAATGTAATGTTATGTAATGTATGTATGTATGTATTAATGTAATGTAATGTAATGTTATAAAGAGTGGGAAAGGTAAGAGGAACAAAAATATATATAAGTATGTAGGTAAATGTGAATAATAATAAATGTAATGTAATGTTATGTAATGTTATGTAATGTTATGTAATGTTATGTAATGTTATGTAATGTTATGTAATGTTATGTAATGTTATGTAATGTTATGTAATGTATGTATGTATGTATGTATGTATGTATGTATGTATGTATGTATGTATTAATGTAATGTAGTGTAGTGTAATGTAATGTATGTATGTATGTATGCATGTATGTATGTATGTATAGACATATGTATTTACATATGTATATACATATGTATATGTATATATATATAGAAATGAATATATTAACATACATATTTTCATATTTATGAATATATATATATGTATGAATATGTACATATGCTTATATGTATGGCTTTCGATGGCCTTTTGGAAGCCTTGTTTTGGCCGAGGCCGCCTCTAACGACACCAGTCGGCTTGCTTTTTTTTTCAGCGTTGTCTTGTTACATGTCATGTTTTGTATGCTCTTTTTTAGTGTTTGTCTTGTCACATGTCATATTTTGCATTTTCATTTGGGTGGGGGTGGGAGGGGCTAAAAACATTTTGTCGCCTCTTCTTTTGGCAGGTGCTTTAAACTTTGTCAAACTTCTTCGTCACAGGCTGTTGATGCTACGCCTCAGCTCTTTTGTCTTGTAATTATCTAAGACGCTGTTCACGCTACGCCTCAAGTCTTTTAGTCTTTTGTCTTGTAATTATCTAACACGCTGTTGATGCCATGCCTGAAGCTTCTCTTTTGTGAATTTCCAGACGTTTTGGACTGTCTTTTTCAAATAGAGGTATATATAATATATCTATTTATGTTTATTCCAGCGGAGGGACAGCCGTGCTAGCGTTTTTGACGTCTTTGGATATGCGGCATGCTTGCACATGGGGGAAAGTAATAACGTTCTATGATCTTGCGTGACCTCGAGCACGCGTTGCATGCGACGCCCTCAACAGGGGTGTGGGGGTGAGGTAATAACGTTTTATGATCTTACGTAACCTCGAGCACGCTTTACATGCGACATCCTCAACATCTAACAGGCTGTGAGCACCTTCCTGTAGTATCTAACACGCTCTTGGTGCCACACTCTGAACACTTTCGTGTAACATCTACACTTTCATCTAACATCTATCTAGCACCCTTTTGGTCTACTTTGAAGAAATATATCCCCAAGGAGTTGGCGTCCAAACATTCAGGTAAGCGAGACTTATCAGAGACTATATATACAGCTTTGTCTGGAAATGCAATGTGCCCAAGGATGATCAGTTGAAACAGCTTGGCACCTTGGCAAAGACCTGCAAGTGAAAAACACCAAACACACAGGTTTTTTTAACATATGGGAACCGAAAAAGCACATTTCCACCGATGTAAAATCATCAAAACAATCACGACGTCATGCAGCAACTTATCGATTTGTAAGTCTACACAAAATGCTCTGGACACGACACCCTGGACGGGTTGTGAAAACAGAGGCTTGGCAGCAGAAAAAAGAGTGAAAGTCAGCGCGGTCATTGCGGGCGGCGTGACCTTGTCTTGCGATACCTTGTTCTGGGTCTTTTTCCCAATCAGAATTGGTTCATCTTCCTCCATGTCATGAAGGATTGCACCACTCAAGATCATGAGTCTCAGGATGGCTTTTGATGGCTGTTGATGGCTTCTTGAAGGCCTTGCTTTGGGATACCCTGTTCCGGTTTCGGCGAACTCCAGCTCAGTCTGTGCACACAGGGACTTGGACGCTATCGCGAGTTCCAGCTCAGTCTGAGCACGTGCGGACCCGAACCTTACCGCAAGCTGCAGATAAGTCTGCCCAAACCCCGTGGCGACCTCCAGATCACACTGCACAAGCACAGACGCCGGCAACACATACGGACGCCTGCAACACACGCCAGAAAGAACGTCAGAGTTTATGCCAGATAGAACGTCAGAATATATGCGAGAAAAGATGCTAGAATAGGCACCAGATAGAATGCCAGAACGAATGCAAGATAGAAAATCAGAGTATATGCCATTTATAATTCCAGGTGATATGTCGGAAACTATGTCAACATGTTTTGTCAAGGGGATCACTCGAACAAAAACACTTCTTCTAATCTTGACATTTCCCATGTCGCTCATGTCCAGAATGCCAGATGCTGGAGGGCCCCATGCACGCGTGAAATCCAAAATCATGTTCTGAGTTCACAGATGATTTGTATTCCGCAGACGTTGCATTGTTGGTCCCGATCAACTTGTAGAGCTACGAAACGTCTATCCATTGAGTTTGGCTCGAGATATGCCAGTCGATTCAGTTTTTCGAAAAGCATCCGAATGCTACACATAAACGTTGCTTTACCCAGTGGTCGTAGTGAGAACCTCTCAGTTCTGCAGTCTTCCAAAGTAGGGGACTTGAGGGTTCTGGCCCAGAAATCTTTTGAGCAAGGTTTCTTGAAACTGGTTACTTCTGAGGGGCATGTCTTGAATGATCCAACTGAGTCTCTGCAAACCGCAGGGCTTCAAGATGGTGACCACATTACTGCAATCTCTCTACAGGCAAGGCTGGCAGCAACCGCAAGCGCCTTTGCTCTGTGGTGTTGTGGATGTGACAAGATTGTCACCTGGGGCTCTGCATATCATGGTGGTGACAGCTCGAGAGTCCAAGAGAAACTCAAAGGTGTACAGCAGGTACAAACCACATGGAATGCCTTCGCTGCCATCCTGTCGGATGGGTCGGTTGTTACGTGGGGCGATCCACAGTGTGGTGGTGATAACTCAGCCGTGGAACACCAGCTCAAAGGTGTACAGCAGGTTCGGGCCACAGCTTACGCATTTTCTGCCATATTGGCAGACGGATCGGTTGTCGCGTGGGGCGATAGAGCAGATGGTGGTGATTGCTCTGCAGTTCAACACCAGCTCCAGAATGTACAACGACTTCAGGCCACAAATTCCGCATTTGCTGCCATCCTGGCCGATGGATCAGTCGTCACATGGGGTGATCCCCAAGCTGGTGGTGTCAACGCTGCAGTCCAGGATCGGCTGAGGTGTGTGAAAGAGGTTCAAGCCACAGATTCTGCATTTGCGGCCATATTGGCAGACGGATCGGTTGTTACCTGGGGCAATCGAGGAGATGGTGGTGACAGCTCTACAATCCAAGATCAGCTTGTGAATGTGCAGCAGATTCAGAGTACGCGTTCTGCATTTGCAGCAATCCGGGCAGATGGATGCGTGGTTGCATGGGGCCATCCACTTTGGGGTGGTTGCTGCTCTGCAGTCCAAGACCAGCTCATCAATGTGAAGCAGGTTCAAGCCACACGCTACGCATTTGCAGCCATCTTGAGTGACGGTTCGGTTGTTCCATGGGGCGATACGCAGTATGGTGGTGACAGCTCTGCAGTTCAACATCAGCTGAGAAGTGTGCAGCAGGTCCAGGCTAGTGACAGCGCATTTGCTGCCATCTTAGCTGATGGGTCAATTGTCACCTGGGGCGATCCTGATCGCGGAGGTGACAGCTCTGCAGTCCAGGATCGGCTGAGGTGTGTGAAAGAGGTTCAAGCCACAGATTGTGCATTTGCTGCGATATTGGCAGACGGATCGGTTGTTGCTTGGGGCAATGGAGATTATGGTGGTAACAGCTCTGCAGTCCAAGATCAACTTACCAGGAACGTACAGCAGCTTCAAGCTACAGAGGGGGCCTTTGCCGCCATCCTCTCAGATGGATCGCTTGTGGCGTGGGGTGTGGGACGTTTCGGTGGTGACATTTCCGGAGTCAATGAGGACCTTGCGTCTCTGTAGCACAGTCTCTGCCATGTTTTCAGACTGAATGGTTTCTTTCTGCTAAAGGGCAATTTCTGCAAGTTGTTTTGCCACATCAGGTGACTTGTGGAAATATTTTGGAGGTTGGAATGGCCGGCAAAACTACGGCAACTGAAGTCGTACCGGGTGAGGAGCTATCGCCCACAGCTGTTCATCCCGTTGGTGAAATTGCCGCTTTTTCAGGGTGAAATCCCCATCTTTGTTGGTTGATTTCAGCTGCCATAGCTGCCACATAAATCAACATCGCTGACTTATTTTTGGCTGGTTGGTGGTTTGGAATATTGGGAATAATCATCCCAACTGACTAATATTTTTCAGAAGGGGTTGAAACCACCAACCAGTTGGCAAAGTTCCCATTTTTGTTGATTTCATGCTTCCATTGATACCATCGATGTTCAAATCCCAGGTGCCACAAGGTCTCCCTGCTCCGACGTGCCAGGACTTCCGATGTGCCAAGCGTCGAAAAAGCTGCTGCCTGTGCAGTGCAAAGCATTTGGGATGCGAACTTTTCGATAAAATGGTGTGATTCTTGTGGGTGGCCAGGAGTTATTTTTTTGTTGGTATTAGTGTAAGTACGGATAAGTACGGAAATTACCTCCAGAAGGTTGAGATATATTACCGACAACATGATAAAATCTAACGCGCAGAAGTTAGTGGAACTGCACCCCCCAGCACAGCCATTTGTAGAGAAGGTTTGAAGCATTAACAGATGAGGATTTACCAAAAACGAGGAGGCAACCCTACAAAGGTCACAACCCATGAACGGGCTCTTTCTAGCAACCGATGGGGGTTTTACCCACCGCATTTGGGGATATCCCGCAGAATAGGATTATAGCAGCGTTTTTAGGACACTTACCCATTTGATAACTCCACTAAGAACATTTTTTGGGTATGGCCTCGAATGCTCCCAAATGGAAGGGGTAGATGTCGTATGGGTACGACATTACTGACTGAACTTGCCTCTTTTTCCTGGATGGGTTTGTCCAGAAAATCATCTCCCCCAAATCAAGTGGTTCATCTCATAAGTATGAGCTTGTTGGGATACCTCACACACATGTGTACAAACCAGTCCGTTTACATATCAATCTGTATTTCAAGATCTTCTTGGTAGGGCTGAGTTGTGCAGTCTTTGTTTACAGGTCGACTTTTTTGCGTGTGCAAGCTGTTTTGGCTAGAAAACCACTATAATCTGGAAGTTTATTAAAAAAAAAGGCAGCTAAAGAGAATGCCAGGAGTTCGGGGCTTTGACATGTGCAGTTTCAGAAAAGCGACAGCACAGCTGATTTGATCAGCGGAAATGCTGATAAATTGGACAATAAATGACAACGATTGAGATCAATCACCCACAATTTCCGGAGATGAGCGCTGTTGGCTAGTCAAGGAGCGCTGGCTTGTGGTTTCGAACAAGGTCTCCATCACATCCCTATCATATCCTATTGCAGTACTACTGGCACCCCTTAGTTTACAGCTCCCCATGATATCCTTGCCCATTGCTTAAAATCCAGTTCTGTGTTTTATTTTGTTTGCAGCTGCACTTAAGTGTCCAAAAAAAGTCGTTTTGCCTTCCCAATTCTCTTTACCAAGCATCCAGTGGCAGGAAGCTTCCCTTGGGAGCTCTGCATCCATATTCCCAAAGAACAATGGTCGAGCCTAGCAGCTACAAACGTAACACGAGTTGACGAGTTTCCGACAGCGGCGGGGATTCACCTGGGGATTCACCATGACGCCATGGTGCCCATGGAGCCGGAAGGGCGAGAACTCAGCAGATGCCTGCAGCAGATCTTTGGAGGTTCAACGCCAATGGGAATGGTTATCTGATGGGTATCTTATGACTTTTTATGAGACTTGATGGGTATTCTTTGATGGTCTCTTGTCGGCCATTATGGGTAAATCTAGAATTTGCAACTGGAAATTAAATGTGGGTGCATATCCAGAATTAGCCATGATTAGCCATGAATATCCAGAATATTATATATACATATACAAATGTTTTTTTCGCGGAGCTCACCAGTTTTTTGATGGCTAGGAAGGCAACTATTTGTCAAATGGCCCGCTTTAGGGGCGTGAATTATTGCACTACCGGGACTCAGAAAATATACAAGCATTGATCATTATTGAGAATTGTGGTAGACATACCCTCCCGTAATCAAACTTGGCAATGGAAGAATCCCCAATTCATAGATTATTTTTTGAACCCACAGGCTTCGTTCCCAAAATTATTTCAATAAAGATATCGGATGTCCCCAAATTGATAGTAACTTTATATAATATATAGAATGTTTATAATATAGTGTATACATCTAAAATATATTATATTTTCTAACAATATAATATTAGATTTTGATTTGAGTTAAACTATGTATAATATATATATATATCTAAAATATAATATTCAATAAATTATATATAATTTATATAACATATAGTTTTTTTTTAAATATATATTATATAAAATGTAAATAATAGATCATACATAATATATGGGGTAATGTTTAATATTATAGAAAATACATAAAATATATAAAATACATAAAATATATACAATACATAAACAATATAAATTGTATAATAGATCATATATAATATAGTATATTTAATATCAAATGTACAATACATAATCTAAATTATATGTGATATATAATAGATAATATATGGTACATAATATAGAAAATATATCATATATAAAATATATAATATATAAAATATAATATACAATATATATATTTACAGAACAGATAATATATGATAAATATCATATTGAATATTTAATATATATATAGTATTTAATGTTTGATATAATATACAATACAATATAATATAATATGATATCATATATAATATAATATAATAAAGCATATAATATATATAATACTATATTGTATACTGTATAATAAATTAAATATAATTTCAAATACATAATATAAAATCTATTTTTTAAATACATAATATATAACATTATATGTACAATATAATGAAACTACAATATAATTAAAATAAAATAAAATTAAAATATAATATATAATGATACATAACAATATTTAATCATATATAATAATATATTGTAATATTTATTTATATTTAATATTTAATAATGAAAATTAAATAATAATATATAATAAGATAAAATATGTAACAATATATAATAATAAGTAAACATATAAACAAATATATATATTTTTTGAAAAATAATATTTTAAAAATATATTCATATATAGTAATATTTAATAATTCAAAACATATATAATATATAATATTAAATTTTTAATATAATAAATATATATATATTATTTAATATATAATATATATAAAATATAAATAATATAAAATATATATCTAATATAATTTATATATATAAAATATAAATAATATAAAATATATATCTAATATATAATATATATTTAATATATACATAGATGATATATAATACAAAATATATAATATATAATATATATTATATATAATATATAAGATATGTATATAATGTATATGTAATATTTTTAATATATATATATATTATATATACATTGTATAACTTATATATATAATATATAAAATATAAAATATTTAATATATATAAATATAATATTTAATATATATATATAATATATTTAATATAAATTATATATATAATATACAATATATAAGAATATATTTCTGAATAATTTAATCAATATGATATATATATATTATTTTGTACAATATGTATATATATATAGAATGTATAATATTTAATATAATATATATTATAAAACAATTTAATATATTTTGTATTACAATCTATAATAATATATAATATATATTTGTGTAAACAATTTCAAATTACATCACTATATATATATTATATGATCTAAAATATCGTATACACCTAGAATACAATATATAGTATATACTTTGTAATATTCCAGATAATGTATAATATATAATATATGATATCATAAATAATACGTAATATATTTTATTTGATAATATATAAATATTGATATATATATATATCTCATAATATCAATAACAACAATTAACAATAACAATAAATAACATATATAGATACAAAATAAATGTGTACACATATATATATATATGCATATGCATATATATATATACATATATATATATATTTAGAATTTGCAAACCATGGACTCCAACTCAACAATTAACTTCCCGGGGTCATTGGATTTGGGCACATGAGAGTGACTTCGCTGGCCCTTCGCTTCCCTTAAATGATAGCTGGGATTGGGGAAATCTCAAATTTGACTCGCCTGGAAATACGTAGGCAAATCATGGGCCAAAATATGTCCGAATGAGAAATAAGTGCTTTGAATCATTTGGGTGGAACCAGAACGAATCATTGAACTATCAGTTGGCGCATTTTTTTCTCAGAATTATGGGGCCAACAATTGAAGTATAGATCTGGTTGGTGGTTGGTTTCAAACATCGGAAAACAACTTTTTCGCATCAGGATTATTTCTCTTAACCATATTTTTTTTCCGACAAAAACGGTATTTTTTTGGGAGTTTTGGGATGCGTTGACACATGTTGACACAAATACAGCATCGCCACAAGGTGACGAGCTGGTGTCCTTCGACCATTTGGTCCATTTGGTGCCAGACGGGACGTTTGGATTGGGTGGATCTGGGTCAAAAATGGTTAGTTCAACTAAGAAAAACTAAGGGAATTGATCAAAATTGATCAAAACTCCAAAATTATGAACATTTCGTGGAAAGTATCAGATATCTTGATATCGATAAACGGCCAGAAATTCACCAATGTCTAGAAAGTTCCTGTGATTTGATGATTTCCCCAGTCATTGCAAAAGTGAAACGCAGTTGGTTGTACTGTGGTGGTACCAATTGATATAGTGGCAGGAGGTACAAACTGCCGGTTTCAACATTTTGATATCTGCCCCTGCATTGGAGAACTGTACCGATGAGGACCGATGGGGGAGCCATCAGAGATGCCGTGGGTTGGAACGAAGTGGTAGTGGGGAAACCGCAGTTTCCTCGACCAAATTCAAGGTTGGTTTAAGGGAAAATCGACAGGATACCATGGTTTCTCATAAAAATATGAAATTTTCCTGTAGATTTTCCCTTCAACCAAGTTGAAGATAGTTCATTGCTATGAAAAATGGGTACTTATAATCCAAGAAATCCAACAAAGGGGGCCACAAAAAGTTGGGATCAGGACAGCCAAGAAAGGGGCCCCTGGGCCAGGTCCCTCTGGATTCAACGTTCCGTCCCGCCCTTGCAGAAGCCTTGCGACCCCTACTGCAACGCCTGGAGGCGAGCTGAAATCTTTGGCCGTGAAAAAACCGCACCACATTTTTTCCATATTTTGACCATGCCACAAATCTCCTCAACATTTGCTAGTTATATTATGTTATATTTCCATAATACATCCTGGTGTCAAATATGTCCGAGTGGACTCTATGGTTTCTTCTTGTGCTTTTGAGAAAGAGCCCAGGTGGCCGAAGTGGCTCAGATTCCAGCTATATGGCGATCCTTGGAAAAAGCTTCCTGGCTGCTGAATGACTTCGGCGACAACGAATTGGTGGAGTCCATCATGGCCGCTGCCAGAGAGGTCCTGGCAGGGCGCGGCACGGTGGCTGCGCAGTTGGTGGAGCAGCACCTGCTGCGGCTACAGCGCTTCCGGACGGATCCCCTGAGCACTGCCACGGCATTGACGGAGAGGTCTCGATTCAGGGAGATCCTGGCGGATCTGCCGCCGTGGAAAGAGAAAGTCGAGATTTTCCAAAGAGAATCTGTGGCGAAGTACGAATTGGACTGTGCCAAAACCCTAAAAACTGTGGCCAAAGGTGCTTCCTGCGAAGTCTGGGTGCATCGTTTGTCCTCCAGTGTGCAGGTTGAACAGGTCATAGACCAACATTGTCCCGGCCGATTCACTTCTGCTTGTGCGGCGACCTGGTTGCAAGAAAGTTTGCCGCTACTCCCATGGCTTCTGCTCCATCTACTCCTCCCTGCCATGAAGCTTTCGAAGGCGAACCACCAGATTTTGCTGAAGCTTCGCAAGGCATTGGAGTGCTGCGATGATCCAGAGGCCCTAGGGCAGTTACGTGATGCCTTGGTGAACGCTTGTTCACTGTTGTTGCGGACTGCCTGGTGTCAATCTACAGAGATTGACTATGCTGAGGCATGGCTTTCAAAATGATCAATTATTTTGTCGTTTGTCTAACATCAACTCCAACATCAACCGCAACTTTTGGGGCTTTTTTGGATATCACCAAAAATCAATTTCCCAGTTCAAAAAAAATCCACCTCGTCCTTTCAGGCCGTTCGCTGGTTCTCCTCTGCTCTGGTGGTGACCCACGAGGCGTGTCAACTTCTGCTGCCCGAGCTGCCTGTGACCAGCGTGGCCGCCGCGCTGGCCGCCACGCCCTTGGCGCAGCCGACCCCAGGGGCGCCCTGGGAGACGTCCACGACCTCGACGACGTCGACGACGTCGCCGGTGATGGAGGCGCTGGCGGAGGCGCTGGCCGTGGCGGTGCATGAGGAGATGAGCTGCTGGGGTGCCCTGGCAGACACACTCAACGTATCTCAACGTATCTCAACCGTTTGGAAAATCAGAATCGTAACTCATCGTATATTGACAACACATGTTTTTTTTGCAAGACATGGTTGGATTACCAGAAGCGGATTGTGACCCTCATTTTGATGAGGTAACAATGGTCACACAAATTTCTGTTGATTTTAGGGATGTCTAACCACATTTTTTTGCTGGTCAATATAGTTTTGAACCCTAAACCCACTTGGAGATCTTAGAGGCTTAGCCTAAACTCAGTCAATGGAGAGAGAAATAGGGTGGTGATTTCGCAGGTCGACTTTTTTTGATCCTGGCTGAGGTGAAGTTGCGATGGCTTTTCTTTTTGGTGAAATTTATTTGAAAAGAATCAAGGATATTGAAGAATATTGAAGAATTAACATTTGAACTTCATTTCAAGAATCCAAAAATGGTGTGAACAGCCAGTCCAGCTTTGACACTTTGAAGTGGTAATTGACCTCATCAGGTGAAGGCGCAGCATGGCCAGGGAAGATGGCACCCCTGCTGTTGCTCTTTCGAATCCTTCCCGACGCAGGACTTCCCGGTGGGTTTCGATGGGACACCGGGACATCACAAAAAATGGAGTTTGGTCGGATGGATCATCCAATGTGTGCATAGGATTCAATATGATTCAATATGATTCAATATGATTCAATATTTCTCCTGATCCTTACCATCATTTACCCATCGATCTTAGCGCGCCGTCAAGATTTCGGTAGAAAAACTCGCAGATTATCACTAGGGGGTCGCCAGAATGGTAATGATTCCAACTGTACCTGGTACAGCATATAAATCAACTAGATATCGATTCATATTCTTCCACTAGGGGCTTCATGAGTCCAGGAAATCCCATGTTAGCGAAATCTTTTTTTTTCTTGGTATAACCTTCCTATAGGGATAGCCTCCAGCAATCTAACCCGATTTTCCCACAGTTCTTTCCCAGTCATGGAGGCTCGTAGCCGGTGCCCATGGCCCAGGAGGCTCCCCACTCCAAGCCCAAGCTCGTTTAATCGCGCTGAGAGCGTTGCAGCAGGAGGCGGGTCCCATGGGGATGGTCAACGCCTCTGTGTTTGAACTATTGGATGCTGGGATGTTACCAAACTTTTGGGTTGTCTAAACGTGGGAGATGGTCCCCAATTGAGATCATCAAGATGATTCCAATGGATGATTTTTGTATATACTAGTAGATTCAAACCACCAGCCATTTGGCCATTTGGTTTGGCCATTTGGCCATTTGGTTTTGTCCGCATCCCAATGGTATGGTGTTTTTTCAGTGCGGACAATTAGCCGCTTAGCCAGCTTGCTATAAATTGTTTGTAAGTGGCTCATTCCCCCAGTTTCTAAGTGGGAATGCCAGCAATACTTAGACCGAGGAATCATAAGTTGTTAAGAACCCATGGTTAGTTCGCATTGCACAGGATATTCCCACTTATATATGGGCTCGTAGCCCATTAATTCTGGGAGCTACGACCAAGGCCAGATGCCTAGAGCACAGATTGTTGGAATTCCTGCAGAACGAGTGCGGACATCAGCACCCGGTTGCCTGGACATTACAGTGAGATTTTTTCTTCCTTGGGGCTATTGTGAGGGAGACGGGATCAGTCTTATTTTACCCCCAGTGAAACCGCTAAGCCTGCCCAGCACCTGAGGAATCTACAATGAAAGATGAACCCCTAGTGGTCAATGGAGAAAACAAGTCCTCAAGTCTGATCCCCAAACTTTCAGTGACATGTGGTTCGTTCACCCCAACAATGTCTGGCAGTTCCAGCACTGGACGTTTTCCTCCCAGGTGCTAAGACATTTGGCCAAAGTGCTCCACGACGCTGACGCTGACGCCGATGGAGCGGCGATGGGACCCCTGGGCTTCCGTGCCGTGGCGGTCCCACAGCTGGCCGTCACTCAGCTGGGGCTGGCCGAAACGGGTCCGCGGTTTCCGGTGCCGGTGACGTCTGCGGCGAAGGTGTTGGAATCCCAACAACTTCAGTGGGAAGAGCTGTATCGCAAGAAGTTTCCACACCGCCGGTTGCAGTGGACCAGCCTGGGCGCGGTGGAACTCCTATGGAGGCACCGGAAGGGTGAGACACTTCTGATTGCTACGGAGAGGCAAGGCCATGTCTTGCTGGCAGTGGATGAAGGTGGAGCTTCCGAATGTGAAGCGAAAGAGGACTCTGGTTGTTCCCAACTTTGATTTTCTTTGAATCCTTATGCGCTGATCTCAGTACCTGAAAAAACAACATGATCGTTTGTGTCTATCTCTCAGACTCAATATGGGGAAAGAAACAAACTCCTGGATGATGAGGCATCAAAAGCAACCAAAGACTGAGTGAGGGATTATCTAGCTACAGATCCTTACAACTGCAGATACAGATTATCAGTTTTGCCTGATCATGTTGCAAAGCAACATACTGACCTACCAGTTTTCTATGCACATGGCGTCAATCTTAATTCTGTTGTGGGGCTTCCCATTTAGCGATTGTTTGTGCTTCCTGTGTGGCAGCTTTTCACTCAAACTTTCCCTTATTCGACCTAAACATTGTTGGATGGTGTGTCCGCCTTTCCGAGGGTCTTGTCTCCCTTTGTCTCCCATTGTCTCCGCACATGTGTGCCTGTGTCGGATGGTGCTGAGTCCGCCTTCCTGTGCCATTGTATCCAATTGAAGGCGTGTCCGCTGTCCTGAGGTCTTGTTTCCCAGCTCTCCCAACTCTCCCAGCTTGTCTGTCTTCTTGTTTCCTTTTGTGGCGAGTGGTCTCATTTTGCATGTTCCAAACAGTGTACTGGTAGGGTTATGTTTGCCTATTCCAGGCACCCCTTGGAAATCAAGGAAATAATCAAATTAGCAAAAAATAGGAAAAAAACGAGGATTGACCCCCCAAAAAATAGGAAAAACAACGGGTGGACAAAACCCGTGGTTTTGGCGCTCTATTTCTTCCTATTTTTCCAACACTTTTTCATTTTTTCAATCTTTTTTCCGACTTTGTCCCTAATTTTCTCGAGGTTTTTGCAATTTTTCACGTTTCCGGATTTTTTCAGCAACATTTCGGATTTCTCTTTGGCCACCTACATTTTTCCCGTTTTTTCCTTATGTTTTTCCTATTTTTCTCATGAAAACATGCAAAAACCTCGAGAAAAATATGAAAAATAGGAAAAACATGGAAAACAAGAAAAACATAGGAAAAAATAGAGCGTCAAAATCACGGGCTTTTGTCCACCCATTGTTGTCCTATTTTTTTTGGGGGGTCAATCCTATCTTGTCCTATTTTTTATTATTTTGAAAACTCCCAGGATGCGCCTGTAATTCAGACATAATGTTAGGGGTTCTCAATGCTTTCTCATGTGCTTGACCCTGTTCCCCAAAATACTTCTTGAATCCACCCACTGTTTGGGTGTTTTTCATACTTTCTCCATGCTTTTCAAACTGTTTTTTATCCTTGTTACCATCATTATTTGTTGTTGTTATTCTTATTATTTCCATTACTACTATTATTGTTATTGTTTCACATTTTTTCACCTTGATCCCATTCTTTTAATTTCGAACAGCACTGGAGTCTTCCACCTTTTTTAAACCAAAAAAGGAAGAACAAGCAGCACACATTTCATCCATAATTTCCATCTCCAAAGAATTTTCTAGGATTTTCCAAGAGAATTTCCAATGTTTCCATGTTTTCACGAGCTTTTTGACGATTTTTCCAAGCAGTTTTCCATGGTTTCCTCCATTTTTTCATATTTTTTCCTAGGGACGTCGCCAGGACACGTGGCAGCACGAGCTGCTGCCGTTGCAGCAGGTCCTGACGGCCGACGAGTGCCACGTGGCGCGGCTGGATCTGCGAGTGGTGCCACGTGGCGCTGCTCCCGTGGTGCAGGAGAGTCGGATCATCCCACGGTCCTCGAAACGTGGTTAGCCCTGGTTTATCCGTGGTTAATCTGTGGTTAATCTGTGGTTTATCCGGTCATAGGGGTACCAAATCATCCATTTATGGATTTTCCAGTAGCATCCAGCTATTGGGGTACCCCGATGGCTTGAGAAAGCCCCCATTTCGGTGAAATTGCCGAGGTTCTACCATTCCAGCACTCATTTCTGGAGATTTTTCGAGGGATTTCGATTTAAGTGAAACCCTGGGGCCCTGGAGTCCAAAGACCAAGGTGGTTCAAAAAAGGGATTTCAGCAGCGAATGGGTCGAGTCCTTGGCCACCCCTTGGGTGGCTAAAAACATCTAAAGTCACCATCACAGTCCATCGAAAATGGGGCAAAATGATGCAATATCAGGTTTTTTTAAGTTGGAAAGCGAAAAAATCTGGCTGGAAACCAAACCATCAGTTTTTCTTTTTTAAATGTACAGATACTTACACCCCAATGATTGTCCATTTGGCCCCAACGGTCCAATACTTCCAATGATTCATGAAAATTCAACCAATCCCAGTCCGGTGACTCCCTAGTCATAGACAGCTAAGCAATGCCCTGGCAGAACGTGGATGTTGATGGCCAGTATTTTCTTAAACCTTAATATCAATCCACTCAATATGAATCATTTTTTATGGACTTAGTATCACTAAGATTAATATTACTTAATATTCATAGATCAACCATTCATAGAATTGGATGATGGGAACATGTTCACCGGAAAGCCTCAATTTGATTTTGTATTTTAACCATGGTAAATAAAACCGGTTCAGATTTTCCCCAAGAATACCAATCCAGTGAACCATGATATCGTCCGCCAGGAACTGACATCCCGGCCCTCGCAGTCTGCGGCAGTGGTTGATGCAGCCCTGGTGCGGCTCCTGAAGTGCCTTGGAAAAGCCAAGAATTGGCGGTTAAAAAAATGCAGGTTTTAAGCAGGTTTTCATGTTGGAGAAAGCCATCAACAGTTGATTATTATTATTTTTTTTCGGAAAATGTTCACATTTCAAGAAACAACAATGGGGATTGAAGCATCAAAACAGACCGGAATCATTGGGCGAATTCTTTTTGCGGCAGCATTGACCCATGAATTTTCCTGAGGAACTGCGACATTTATTGTCCGCAACATCAAAGAAGTATCTCTACTTATTTGGTGGTTCCATCAAATATATGTTGACCAACAAACATGCGAATTTAGCTATTCAAAGACGGCAAAGCGTTTTGACTGCTTGGCTTTCATGGATTCATGCACTCTTGCTCTATCATATCCAGCCACGTTATTTTTTTTTCCATGGTTTTTCTTTTGTGCGGGGTATCTAATATCACCCCTGATGCTGTTGGTTATTGAACCAACCCAAACTGCGGCATTCAGAGGATTCACGGAAATGATCGAGCCATTTTTCCTTTCCATCCTGACCAACGGGGATGAAGTGACCACCAATTCTTGGGGCTTGTGTCACACTGTGTCACTTTTGTCATGGTGAAGGCTCTTGACTTCATGCTGCGTGAGTCTTTTTTGTTGAAAAACACCGTGGACGACGGCTACTTGATGATTTAAGCATCCCTGCTGATGTCATCAAGCCTGGAAAACTGGCAGGATCGCAATTCCACCAGCGGTCAGCCGTATCTCTGATAGTGGCATCCTTGGATCATTTTTTACCTATGGAACCCGTGGGAATCGCCGTCCCAGGCGCTTCCACGTCTTAACTGGTGAGGAGATCCTCAGAAAGTTGAGCCAATATCCCGAGAGCTTAGAACTGGGAGCGGAGTCGCTTAGCGGTGCTTTGCTGTGGCAATGGGGATTTACCAATCACTGGGCACATAAGTCATAGCGAAAAATGCGGAGATCTACAGAACCCGAAAAAATGTGGGATAAATGCAGACACATAAACACATCATATAACCAACTCCCAGTATCCTGTGGCCTGTTGAAGAGGAACATGGAGTCTTTCTCTTACGAGGATTCGGGGCTTACAGTTTTTCCGCATTGGGACCCCCTTGGAATCTGATCCCGCCGTGGCCGTGCCCAGTTCAAGAATCGTGGGATTTCCAAGGATTTTTTCCGGGTTTTCCAGCTTTTATTTCGCAGAAACCTTAGCTGTCGAGGTTATGTGGGCCGAAGGCCTTCAGTGATGCGCGTGCTGCTGCACAGGCCTGATGAGTGGTAACCAGTGGTTGTACCTTGTACTTGTAGATGGGATAATCATCCCATCGAATGATGATTCTTAGGCAAAACCGGAGGTTTCATAGGGCATTTTGAGGTCCAAACCAAACTGCCCCAAGCCGTTGGCTTTTGGCACAGGATGATGGCCGCGAAGCATTTCAACGGCTGTGTGCTTTGTGTGTGTCAAGCTCAGGGTGACCTCACTGAGGAACTCCTGGGATTTTACCATTCTGTCATCCTCATCTCCCAAGAATTCAATATCCCCCGATCGACACCTGGTATAGTGTTGGTCCAATGAATTTTTGGGGCCCATTTGGGGAAGATAATATAAGGTTCATGGAATTAGATGGACTATGAGTTTGTGCAAAACTGGTAAATAACCCAACATAAAAAAACAAACTCATCTATTCTTGCTATATGGCAATTCGAGGCATAGCGTCCTATAACCGTCCCCAAATCCTTCGCACTGAGGATCGCGGCCTCTTGCGTGAGGAGACACAGGAAGTGGGTGGGAACACCTTGACCCTGGCAGGCGGCGACAGCACAAGGGCCGGTGGTGGGTGGTCCTAGAAATGATATGGCCTCAATAGCAATCAGCTTTGGGATTTAGAGCTAGAAGCTCCAAGCATTGGATAGAGGCTACTTGAACAATACATATATAAAGATAGATATAATAGATATTTTTGAAGAGAAGAGGATAGTGTGGGATGACAGGAAGATGTCAACAGAGCAACTTGGACGTTTTTTTTTTTTCGACTTCCAAATTCCTTGATACTAAACAGTATATTTCAGGCTCGGGGTCTAGCGCATGGTTCCGGAACTCTTTTTGTGGGATTTCCCATCGCGCTCTTCGTGTCCAGGTTCAAAGGCAGTGGAAACCCCACTGCAGCCAGGTGGGGCCGGCAGTTGTGGGACGGATCATTTCTGTTTCTTACAAAAGTCGGGTCAGTCCAGGATCTATCTATCTATCGATCTATCCTATCTTGTCTTATCTTATCTTATCTTATCCTATCCTATCTATTTAAGCAAACCTTGGAGGACCCGCAAACATTGGTGGAATGAGTGACACCCTGGGAGAGGGCACCAGGTTCCTCAGGTTCCTCTTCCGGTCCTATCTCCTTGTTGGTCCATGTCGGTCACCTCACAAAAAATTGGCGACCATAAAGGCATGGCCTTCTGAAATACTGGAGAACCAACTATGATATATCATTATGGTATAAAATAATATATTATAATTAATATAGTATAACTATAATAACTATGTATAACAAAAAAATGATATCTATACCAGTATATTATCATAATTTATTATATAGCTGATAGTCCAGCACGATCCTTCGGATTTAGGCATCATTTTCAGGTGAATTTCTGCAGCGACGCTTTTTCTACGAGACCTAGGTGATCTAGGTGCGAGGCCACTGAAATGCCGGGTTGTTTGTTGGTAAAGTGAGTAGTCTATGGTTAGAGTTTTTCATTTTTGGGGTTGGTTGACACACCCCATTTAAAAAGGAAATCCAAAGCTGTAAGAACTTGCGGGTGGGTAAATGAGAATAAAATAGGAACAATGAAGAACAACTAAGAAACCACATTAAACATCATTAAACATCATTAAACCACTCGTTGGTGGTTTTCGAATGTTTTGAACATCTCTCGAAAACCGCCTTGGGATGACTGCCGACTGGATCTGCTGTGGCTCAAGTCGTATCGAGACCGAATCCATGTAGGACTCCCATGCTTCAGGTGTTTCAACTGCAATTGGCCACATTTGAACATGTGTCGTGGGGTTCACCAGAGGGCTCCGTACATTTCTCAGTCCTGGGTTTTTTGGGCATTCCTTCTTGTGCACCCTTTGTAAGCAGCCTATGCTCCCAGGTTATGATCTATCTTCGATGTTGTGGGAAGAGTAGTCTTCGATTTATATCCAAATTCTCTTTCACTAGTTAATATATATATATATACACACATATGGTCCACATATAAATACATGTACATATATATATATATACATATGTGCATATACATACATATCTCTGTATAGTTATGTTGGACATTTATTTCTCACTTCCGGTCGTTTCAAGTGGTGAACCCACCGCATCCAAGGCGAGGGATGAACCTCGCAACACTTTTGGGAGTGGCAGGCGCTGTGGTTTCGTACCAGGATGGCCACATACGGTTATATGATGTATAATTGATATATAAGTTATATGTTTGTGTAATATGTACCCTACACATCAATGATATGCATATATATATAATTCAACAAATTTGTAAGAAATATATATATATATGAAATATATTTATACTAATGGTGAATATGCAGTTAATAACAATACAAAAACACCGATCCCCGCTGGATTTAATCCTTGAAAGCATCGATCAGGCCTTGGCCTTGCGATGAGCTCTGTCTTACAGGCGAGGGGGCCATGTCATGTTGACATCTTTGGAGATTGGAATCCTTTTTTTTTGTTTCCCTTTTTTTTGGTGAATCTCCCAAAAGACAGTCTTTTTGGAGCTTGACATCGGGGTTGGCATCCCATTATTCGGACGTTGACATACTTCCTTGCAGTGAACATCCCATTTCCATTGGATAACCTTTGGCGAGTGTCTGAGCCATTTCTATGTTATGGAATGCGTAACAAGATGCAACTTTTCTTCAGGGTAGCTAAGCTTAGGAAGAGCTAGCCAGTTCCGTGGAAGTACTGACTCCCCGCGTCTAAACGGCGATTTCCACATCGAACATGGGGGATTTCCAAAACCATGCTCGTTTCATGGAGCCATACAGCATTAACATCGGCTCTGCTGGTGGTTGGTGGGGGAAACCACACCATTTTCTACGGTTTTCGAGTTGTGTTTTCAGCCAGCCAGATCAACCGAATATCAAGAGATGGGTACCGTCCAAATTGACCCTGGAACGTGCCGACAGATTCTTTTGAGAATTCCACTTTCTAGTATTGACGCACCAGTGTTGACGCATAGCACGATCACTGAATCACTTGGGAGTACCCCCCAATTCGGCTGACCTTCAGCTTGGACTCTTAAAACTTGGACATTCACATTCTTG